TGTTTTGAAAATGATGATGGCAACAAATGTACAAATGTGCTTGACAAAATGGATGGATGGATGGATGGATGGATGGATGGATGGATGGATGGATGGTGATAAGAGTTGTACAAGCCCCCAATAAAATGATTTTTTTTTAAAAGAAAAGAAAATTTAGTGGTTAAAATTCACTCAGCAATCCCTCAGAAGAAGAGTCTGATAATCTACTTCTGAAACATCAGACATTGAAAACCCTAGCCTAAAGAGTACAGTTTTGCTCTAAGACACATAGATCACAATGATTTGGAGTTGACATGATAGCAAATGCTCCTGAAATTGTAGAAGAACATCCCACCTTGGTTGTGCTGTTGGGTGACTAGATGGTGGAGCGTGAGCACAAAGTCTCTTGGTATGACCAAAGAGAGTAAAAGCAGGAGCAGATTCCATGCTCCCAATGCTGCAGCTCTCGTCTGGCCTTTGGAAATGAGTTTGGACACTGAGAACAAAATGTTCTCAGTTGTGTAAAAATATGGTGTTTTTAGCCTGACAACTTGTATTTTAATCTCCACTTTATCCCTTTTACTAGCTGTTTAACTTTGGAGATATTCATGAAAACTTTTCTGTGTCTCAGTTTTATTATCTTATAAAAGGGAGATAAGAATATGGCTTACTTCTTAGGGTTGCTATGAGTAATTAATATGTTAATTCATGTAAAGTTCTTAGAACAGTGCCTGATACATAAAAATTACTTGATAAATATTAGGCATCAAAATTATTATAATTGGTCACCATTTACTAGAATGAGGGTGATATTTTTCACCTATGAAGTTCATAAGGGTCCCCCAGGTAAACTTTAATTCAGTGTAAACTCAAAAAATGCCACAGCCTTTTACTTTAATCTGATTGAAATTAGTCAAGCATTTCTGTGCTGGAAATAATTAACAAACATCTATAATATTAACAAATTACTAATAATAAAAAATCCTATTAGTAGCAAATGCTTTGTTCATCAGAGCTTCTCTAAAGTGCTGAGCAACTTGATTGAAGTGCATACCCTTTAAAATGGAGTTCTTCCATATATTACCCCTTTATATGTACATCTAAAAACTATATTGACAGGGGAGACCTCACCTCAACTGCGGTGAATTTTTGGAGATGGGGAATGGGGAGAAGACCAGTTGCTGCTATAAAACCTTGTGTTAAGGTCACCCCAAATCAATGGACCCTCCTTTAAGAATGATAAGCACATCTTATCCAAAATTCAAGTCAAGATGGGGACAGGGAGGCATGTATGTCTCAGAGAAAGTGATTTCATTTCTGTTGGCAGGTAAACTGGGAGGAGCAACCTCCCATGGGGAAAATATTTAACAATACTCATATAGAACCCAAGGAGAGAATATGCCTCATTCTGTGTTCCTAATTGAACACGTTTGACCTAATTTCCATTAACCCTTGGTGGCCCAGGCTGTGTGCTATGGATTATTGTGAGAAGAAACAGATGATTGCTATCCTAAGGTTATGGACTTGGTGGTTAGTGGACTTTGGTTCAGATTTTTTGCTGTCTCACAACTGTCTCACAGGTGGCAATGCCTTAACCGTTTGCATGTTGTAAGGCCTAAGGGCCTCTTCCATCCTTGTCAAGGGGAATGCTAACCTTCTCTCCTTTCATGTAAAGCAATACACATGGCTCAGTGCAACTCACTCCCGTGAGACAGTGGTGAGACAAGAGCAGTCCTTCAAGTCTTGAGGGCCACCGGGCAGTCCTCCGTGGAGCAATTCAGGCTATCCGGCCACAGGCAACAAACAGCAAGCAGGTCACCAACAGTCAGCCAGATGACAGGGTCCAACAGTCCTCAGCTCAAGAGATGTACCTTCCAGTAGAGTGGCAAAGCAGGTCTCGAAGGAACCTCAAGTTACAGCGACACAGTCCATGGGTAGGTGTCCTACAGATAGTGTAGCTTGCAAAATGGAGGCACAGAACAAGCAAGGCAGCTGCACACTTGTCCGATGATTAAAGAGCAAGAGAGAGAGAGAGGCGAGGCTCGCGAGCTATTTATCCCTCCGCCCTTCAACCAATCTCACATGTGTTCATTGGCCATGTTGGCACAACAAACCTACCTATCATACCCTAATCTAAGAATAATTAGTTCTATGACAGGGCTCTGCTTGATGCTCACCCTCATGAAGAGATTATTGGAGATATGAGTACTGTAGCAAAATGTGGTTAAGAAACTAGATGGTGGCTGGCTATCAGATGGAATAGTTCTGGGGTCTTAAAGGCTTGTCTTCAAACAAGCGGCCATATAAGTAAGGTGTCAACTATATCACATAGAAGTAGCACACCAACCTGTGTGAACCAAGGATTATAAATAATAAAATCCAAATCTGAAGGAGGGAGTGTGTCAGAGCTTAAATTGTGAACACCTGGTTTGCATAATCCTGTGAATGACAGTGGAGCCCAAAATTCACATGCAGGGTCTCCACATGGATTAAGCTTCATGAATCCCCTCTAACCATTGTTGGGGCCTTGCAATCAGACAGAAAGCAAAGTAAAGTTGGTTTTGGCACATGTAGGAATTTAAAACATAATACCTTATCATTTGATCTGCCTTTTGACCCGTTCTAAAATAATTTCAGTGTTTAATATTTTCTGCTTTCATTTTGATTGAGGGTTTTCTATGTTTTGTCTAGTGGGTATTTTTTTTTTTGCTTCCTGTTTGCATTTTGAATCATTTTCTGTATAGGAAATCCAGGAGAGGTATATCTATCTATGAATTGATAATTGCCTAGGGGTATGGTAGGGAGGGCGGGCCTGGAGAGCTAACAACAATGAGTATGAGAAGGAAAAGCTCTGAAATCACGGTGATGGTTGCACAAATCTTCTTAATGTGATTAAAAGATTAAATTGTTCCCCTTGCAGAGGGGTCTTGGGGAGGAGACGAGCCAAACAGGGTGCGATGTAGCAACGATGGAAAATACAACTTTCCTCTAGTTCCTAAATGCTTCCTCCCTCCTCCCCCCCTCCCCTACTATCATGATCCGAATTCTACCTTACAAGTCTGGCTAGACCAGAGGATGTACACTGGTACAGATAGGAACTGGAAACACAGGGAATCCAGGGAGGATGATCCCTTCAGGACCAGTAGTGTGAGTGGCGATACTGGGAGGGTAGAGGGATGTGGATTGGAAAGAGGGAACCGATTACAAGGATCTATATGTGACCTTCTCCCTGGGGGATGGACAACAGAAAAGTGGGTGAAGAGAGACGTCAGACAGGGCAAGATATGACAAAATAATAATTTATAAATTATCAAGGGTTCATGAGGGAGGGGGGAGGGGGGAGGGAGGGGGTAAAATGAGGACCTGATGCCGGGGGCTTAAGTGGAGAGGAAATGTTTTGAGAATGATGAGGGCAATGAATGTACAAATGTGCTTTACACAATTGATGTATGTATGGATTGTGATAAGAGTCGTACAACCCCTAATAAAACGATTTTAAAAATTAAAAAAATAAATTACCAAGTAATGTTAAAAAAAAGATGAAATTGTATGGTATGTGAAGTATATGCAAAAAAACTATTAAGAAAAGAAAATAGAATTCTCAAGAGTATAAGTCAGGGTATCTTGTATTTCTAACTAAAGTCTTATCCACCAATATTTTGGGAAAACCTAAGAATTTAAAAAGTTTTAATTCCTGAAAAGAAGACTTTAATTCTTCAAGGAACCTATTTTTTGAACTAGGAATTTAAAAATTGTAAGAAGTTTTTCCTTAATGAAGTATTAGAATGTTAGTAAAATTTGAGAAATTTTGTAGTAGAAAAGCTCCATGTTGGCTGTAAGACACATCCATATCCAAATTCTGTCTAGGTTACTTGCTTGAAGACCTTGGACAAGTTACTTGACTTTTATTAGCCTACATTTTCTCGTCTATGAAATGGCAATAATAGCTACCTCCATTCACCAACATTGTTATGAAGATTTCAAGTAAATCATTTAACACCCAGTATGGACTCAGTAAAAGTTCCCTCTCATCCTTGTGTTTATTTCTCTCCTTTCCTTAAGAAAGAGAAGAGAAGCTATTGTGCTTCCTTGAAGAGAAACTCAACTGAGAGTGTCACAAGTTTGTAGCAGGGATATTTAGTAATTCAGATAGAGGTGGTGTGGTAGACTAGATCCTGGCCGTTCTCACGCGATATCCACATCTTGGACCCTGGGAATGTTATCTGTTGTTAGTTGTGAGGTGCCATCAAGTCTGTTCTGACTCATAGGGACCCTCTTTATAACAGCATGAAGTTCTGCCTGGTCCTACACCACCCTCACAATTGTTATGTTTGAACCCATTGTTGTAGCCACTGTCAATCCATCTAGTTTTTCACTGATCCTCTACTTTACCAAGCAATGTATCTTATATGGAAGAAAAAAAAAAGAGAGACTTTGAAGATGTGATTAAGGATCTTGAGATAGGGAACTTACCTTGGAAAACAGGCATTAAAAGAAGTCTATATATATTTACAGGAGAGAGACAGAGGGTGATTTGACAATAGATAGAAGGGGAGAAGCCAATATTACTGAAGAGGCAGAGATTGGAGTAATGAGGTCAGACAGCAAGGAATGCCAGTAGCCATCAGAAGCTGGAAGAAGAGATAAGGAACAAATTCTCCCCTAGAGCCTCGGAAAAAGACAGCAGCCCTGATGACCTCTTGATTTTGACCCATTGACACTGATTTCAGACTTTTTGCCTCCAAAACTGTCAGAGAAGAAATTTATGCTGTTGTGAGTCACCAAGTTTGTACAGACTTGTTACAGCAGCCATGAGAAATTAAATAGGTGGATAGTTATGATTCTAAGACAATAGAAGACTACTGAGATGGACTAGAAATAGACCGTAGTCAATGGAAGAAATTTAAATTACAGGTTGGTGTCTAGTCATGGATAGAAGACCAACAGATGTTGAAGAGAAATCCTTTGTAATTGTGTAGAACTTTTCAAGTTGTGGGTTGTAATCATTTTTTTTAAGTGAGCTACACCAGACTGAAAGCCAGACACGTGATGATCTTATCATCATAAGCAGCATGTGTTCCTACACTTCCCTGTGCACTGCCATTGTGCATGGTCTTCCTAGAGTTTCTTTTCTTCCCTCACCCTATGAGTTAAGTGCCATCATATGTGCACTTTTGTGGTCCTTATTGCCTTGCAGGACACTTTTGTGTATTGAGTCTGCTGGCTGTATTGGAGTGATACTGAGTATTAAGTGCTGTGGTGAGTATTAGTTTTATCCTTGTGTTTTTCTGTCTCCTCACCAGATAGCCATTTCTCTGAGGGATATTGGTTTAGCCACTCTGTTTCCCAGTACTCTACTCCTAGTCTGTCAATTTGTCTTACTGGTGGTGGGTTGTATGTTGCTGCTAGCTGGAAGCCATGCCACTGGTATTGCAAATGCCAGCAAGATTACCCATGGAGATTTCAGTGGAGTTTCCAGACTAAGAACACATCAGGAAGAAGGAAAAAACTATCCACTTCTGAGAGATTAACCACTGAAATCATCATGAATAGCAGTAGAATGTTGTCAGATATAGTTCCTCAGTTTGGACGGCACTCAAAATATGAAAATAGTTCACTCCTCAGAATAGGGTTGATTTTAATGAGGTTAATGGAGCAAAGTGTTGGGTACCTTTATTTGCTGATGAAGCATGACTCAAAATGAGAAGAAACAGCTACAAATATCCATTAATGATTGGACATGGCATTAACAAGTATGAATGTATAAAAATTGAAAATCATAAAAATTTAATGGAATATATAAGAATTGATATCCATTTTGTTAGGTGCCACGGAGGCAGTTCTGACTATATACAATAGAACAAAACAGTGCCCAACCCTATGCTATCTTGACATTTGTTGCTATAATTTGAGCCCATTTTTGCAGTGACTCTCTTAATCTAGCTCATTGAGGGTCTTCCTCTTTTTTGCTGACCCTCTACTTTACCAAGCATGATGTCCTTCTCTAGGGTCTGACTTCTGCTGGCAACATGCCAAAGTACATTAGACAAAGTCTTGCCATCTTCACTTCTGGCTGTATTGCATTCAAAACTGAGCTGTCTGTTCTCCTGGAAATCCATGGTATTTCCAATATTATTTGTCAATATCATATTTTAAATGCATCAATTCTTCTCTGGTGTTCCATCTTCAAACTTATGAGGTGACTGAATATACCATGATGTAGGTCAGACAACTCACTTTGTCCTCAAAGTGATATCCCTTGTGAGCCTAAATGGACTGGTGTTGACCATTTTGAGTTGAATAGTTATATGATTTACTGTGCTGGGAATGACAATTTCAAGAGAAATGCTGTCAAATTCATCATCAAAAAGAACATTTTAGATCTATCTTTAAGTACAATGCTGTCTGTGATAGGCTAATATCTATACACCTACAAGGAAGTCCACTTATTATAACTATTATTGAAATATACACAGCAACCACTAAAGTTAATGAAGAAATTGTACAGTTTTACCAATTTCTTCAGTCTGTAAAGGATCAAACTTGTAATAAAAATGCATTAATAATTATTGGCAATTGGAATACAAACATTGGGGGGGGGGAGAAACAGCAGCTGGAAAATATGACCGTGGCGATTGATGTTAAGCTGGAGATCACGTGACAGGATTTTGTCAGA